GGGTGTAGTAGGTAAACTGCAGGAAAACCTTAGCGTAGTTCAGAATTATAGACTCAGAGTCATGAGGATGATTTTCTTATTCTTAGTATCATCAGGTGAGTGTGAAGCTTTCAGAATTGATTTTCTTAATAGATTTGAAATAATCCCGTGACGGAACGACTCAAATAAAGGTGCACGAATGGAGGTCGCCTTCGTTCCCAGGCCCACACTTTCTCCCCTGCGGCGCTTGGTATATGAGAATATCCATCAGTGGTAAAGTTTCATTTTCAGGAGGACGATGGAGTTACTCAACGGCTTGGGAGGAAGAGTAGCTTAAATAGTGCAATAAGAATCCTGTTGCAATAATGAAATGAAAAGAAAATGGCGCTTAATCCTTAATATACCTTAGGACAAATTTGGCCCCGCTGTCCATTAACAATGCTCAAATAAAGTTTACATCCTGTACGTAAATTTACCCATGCTCGTTTTATGCGAATAATTTTTCTATTCAGTCTTTCAAAATCTTTCAAACATCGTATTTCTTTTTTTTTGTTTCTTAATTTACGGTTAAGACCCAGGTGCAGCTGCGTCCAATACCGAAGCGTGAAACCCAGAACAGCATATACTTTGCTTGAATTTATATATTTATTCATCTATTTATTGCTGTGTTTATTCATTAATTCATTTGTTTATTTATTTACATTTTCATCAACTTTAATTACTCGAGCATTGGGATAGTATTATATGCAGGGTAAAAGAGAGAGAGAGAGAGAGAGAGAGAGAGACAGACAGAGAGAGAGAGAGAGAGAGAGAGAGAGAGAGAGAGAGAGAGAGAGAGAGAGAGAGAGAGAGAGAGAGAGAGAGAGACAGACAGACAGACAGAGACAAAGAGAGAAGAAAGAGAGAGAGGTAGATAGGTAGAAAGAAAGATAGCCAGGGATGAGTGAGTGAGCATAGGATAATCTCATAAGCGTGGTAGAATTGTAGAAAGATATACGTGGCAACAAAATCTGATTCACATTTAATATCGTCAGAGAAATACATATCAAGGACACGAAAACATCACATAAAAAATATCTTACAAAAAGTGATATTTTGTTGAGAAATGTCGGCCAGATGTCAGAAAGCCAGACATATACTAATATTTTTCTTCGATACCCAATATACAGTGTATAATTTTTTTTCCCCTAGCCATTTGACCGACATTTCTATTGGTATATATCTACCTTTCTGTCTTCCAACTAAGCATGAATATATTGCTTTATTTATCTACTGCAGACACATATATAATTTGTACACACACTCAGATATAGATATAGATAAACTCATTCCTTTTGATTGATAGTTTGATTTTTTCTTTGTTCATTTTTCCTTTCCTTTTCTCCACCAATTTTCTTCGAGCGCAAACATTCTCGACAGGTGTCTAACATACATACGATCGGAAAGTCTTTTTTTCTACCTGTTTTTCCCCTTCCCCCCCACCCCCCCCTCTTTTTCGCCTCCACAGTATTCGGGTCACGCGGTCTCTCTCTCTCTCTCTCTCTCTCTCTCTCTCTCTCTCTCTCTCTCTCTCTCTCTCTCTCTCTCTCTCTCTTGGCCTGTAAATTCCGCAGAGGATCACGGAGGGTGGGGGAGAGGGGGGGTGGGAAGGGTGGAGGAGGGGGTTATGGAAGGTGGGGAAGTGGGGGGGTGGGAAGGGTGGAGGAGGGGGTTATGGAAGGTGGGGAAGTGGATGAAGAGAAGGCGTGTGGGGTCACGGGGTGGAGTGGGGATGGGGTGGGGGGAAGGAGGGTGACACTAGCGAATGGCTACAGCTGTGTTAAAGGTAAAAAATGGTAGCATTTGTGGTAGCAGTACGGGGGTTCGTCAGAATTACCTAATTTGCTTAGGCATACATCTTGGGTCTCAGTTACTATTTTTTTTGTCCTCTTAAATCATATCTTATGCTATATCTTTGTCTGTAATTCTGCCAGGTGAAAGGTGACATTAAGGGAACGAATACTCGTAGGTGGTGGATTCCGATTATATTATAGATATAAAACACGAACACAAAATATAAAATACGAACAAGAAATGTAAAACACGAACAAGAGATAAAATGCGAACAAGAAATATAAAACACAAACA